GATGTTTATTATTTTAATAAAACAAAGCAAAGGTTTAATGTCACTTTAAATCCTTCTGACTGCAATTTCTTTGGTCTCTAAGGTTCAAAATATCCACCCAAAACACATATGAGGGCTGCTGTTGCCACTGTTTTTGTACTAATATTTTAGCATTAACTACATCCCAAAATAAATCAACTGCAAGGCAACGTAGGAAGAACCAAGCTCTTTAGATGAAAAAAAAATAGGATTTCCATACTCACTATAGAAATCTTTTCTGAGTCCATTAAGGGACACAACTTGGCAATACTAGGAGGGTCCCCCTCCTCACCACATACATATTGCTCCCCCGTTGCAGCCAAACGACAGACTGCACACTAGGTTGCCTATTACCTTGCAATTTCCCCCAATGAATAGTGTGTACTCACCATAAAATATTTTTCTCGGAGTCCATTGAGGGATACAGCTTGGCAATACTAGGAGTGTCCCCCTCCTTACCACATACATATTGCTCCCCCATTGCAGCCAAATGACAGACTACACACTAGGTTGCTTATTACCATGCGATTTTCCCCAATGGACGATAAGAAAAAATAGGAATTGTGTACTCGTCATAAAATATTTTTCTCAGAGTCCACTGAGGGACACACCTTGGTAGGCAACCTAGCAGAGCCCCCAACCCTACCCCCCCCCCCCCCCCTGCACACAAACAGCTCACTCCCCATTGAAGCCAAATGATGCACTAGGTTTTCTTTTAAGTTGTAACTCTCGATGGATGATTATTATTATACAGTATTTATAAAGCGCCAATGGTTCGCTCAGCGCTGTACATTACAAAGGGGGACAGAACATGTGACAGTACAATACCAATACAATGCAAAACATGAGGGGATCGAGGGCTGATAGAGAAAACAGGATTTTGTACTCACCGTAAAAACCCTTTTTTCAAACTCCATTTAGGGACACAGTTTGGTGACAGGCAACCTAGGAGGGTTACACTTCCCCTACCTAGATACATCTCGCTCCCCCATTGCAGACAAAAGAAAGACTGCACGCTAGGTTGCCTATTATCAAACTTTGGTGTCCGTTTATGGACCAGCGGTAATAGATCGCTGCTCAGTTCTCCGGCATTCTCGGAGAACACAGTTCTCCTGTGAATGCAGTTTATGAAGCAGTTCTCCAAACGAAAGGAGAACGGTCTCCAAACGCTGGAGAACGGTCTACAAACTCTGGAAAACGGCTCATTTTACTATAATCTCTCGAGATTATAGTAAAAGATCAGTTTACTAAACAGAGGTAAATTATCTCTGCTTAGTTTTCGGTCCCTCTGATTCTCCAGCTCTGGGCTGGAGAATCTGGAGGGAGAACACAGATCTCCAGAGAAGGGCTGACATGATCTCCTGAGTGTTATAAACTGTGAATGACCAGAGAATAGCTGAGATCTGTTGAATCGCAGCTATTCTCTGTGTCATAAACGGAAACCTTTATCCCACAATGAATGATAAAGAATGGGATTTTTGTAAAACCCTTTTCTCAGCATCCAATGAAGGACACAGCTTGGTAATAGGCAGCCTAGAGAATACTCTGGTACTTGGTTGCAATGGGGGTACAAGCTGTATTTGGAAGGGGGGGGGAGTACACTCCTAAGTTGCTTATTATTGAATTGTGGACAATAGAGCAAAGGCATTTTAGTTATTTTACAAAGCTGAGTGGGTAGTCTAGATTATACTGTTATATCTTTCTGTCATACAAGGTCAGCTTTGAGGAAAAAAATGGCGCTCTTCAAATAAGCAATGACAGCGTGTCCAAAGCGAGTGGTCTATTGATTAAGGTGAGAGGTAATATCAGCCTATGGTTCTGTACTATGGAAAAAAATTACAAGTTAGTACGGCTTTTGGGCATCTATAATTATATGTGCTGCAGGCTTTGCTGTGTAGGTTGCTAATTAGCTCCCGGTGACTATGGAAATGGAAATTCACTATTAAAAGTTCAATTGCGTTTTCTGGCGTGACTAATTTTTTGAAAATTATTTTTTTTTTGTGTAAGTTTATTTGATTTCCAGGTGAGGATGGTTTCAGTTTCTGAATCTATTTTAAAGAGGAGAATAGGAACGGATAGATTGAATTGGCGGGGTCTTCGCTCATCCGGAGTCCTTTTCTAAGTAGATTTTGGTTTTGTTTCCTAATACATTGCAATACGAGCAAGACGTTATGATTACATCTATCATTCCTAACTTCCCCTCAGTTCTTCTCAAAAGTAGTTTTTTTGTAATGTAACCACTTCAGCTTTCACATCTGCATACCACTGATGGACCAGATCAATTTTTATATTTCCTCTATGAGCCTCTTGACTTGACATGAATTTTGTCATAATCTATTTGTAATATATTTATATTGTTTTTGGGGAGGGAACAAATGGCTTTCTTTTGGTGACAATATCTTGATACTGATGGAATACTTTTAACCCTTTGACGCTGAGCTCACACAAATATGCCGCCTCTCTGCGTCTGGGCCTTGATGTCGAGCAACCGCATATTTGCATGCAATTAGAAAATACATATGTGCTGAGAGCGCACTCCCTGTGCGCTCCCAGCACATATGTCAGGTGACTCACAGAAAGGTTCCGATCTCCCCTTTCGATCGGGACCTTTTCCGATCGTGACAGCAAATCACGGCGTTCACATGACCCTAAATCCCCACCTGCCTCCCGGCTTCTGAAACTCTTAAAGGGCCGGGAGGCACCGGTGGGAAGTGGTTAAGCAGCTGCGCATTAGAGCAGCCTTTTTCAACCAGGGTGCCCAGACACCCTGGGGTGCCTTCAGGTGTCATCAGGAGTGCCTTGGAAAAATGCCTAAAAATTGCCCAAAAATTGTATACAAGCCAGTAGGTAGATCAAGCTTGCCTTTTAGGTACATTAAACCACAAGCTTTCATTGTGCACCATTACGACCTTCTAGCCGCTGGAATCCTAACATCCAACAACATTGATAAGGAGGACGTTAGGTGCCTGCAGGGCATCCCTGTTTGCCTTTCCCCTGCCCCTCTCTGTCCACACTGGGGTCATATTAGCTGAGTTAGGGAGAGAAACTGAGCGAGAAGAGAAACATTGGAATACTAGTCAGTACCAGTGTGCAAAGGTGTGTTTGCATTAGACCTCCAGTCAGGGTCAGGGTACTCTGCAGGCTTCATTGCAAAAATGAGTAAATGCACATTGATCATGAGATCAGTGTTGCTGCATTTACTACTTTTGTATAAACATGGGCAAGAGGTGGACTAATGCAGGGTCGAATTCTGAACACATTTGTGCGGTTTGTAATCCAATGGTGCCACCATTGATTTTGAGATTTGACTGACCAAGCCTTCAATTTCAGCTCATGTTGCTACAGAAAATAATTTTCCTGGCTAGGAATCTTTTCTTTCCAGGTCACACCTCATGCTCATTTCTTTTTCTATTATATTTCTTGCCCGAGTTTCCCATCATTGATTAGAAATTCATTCATTTTTCAAAATTTCAACATGCCCGATCACTCAAGTTAGATGGCCTCATTAAAATCAGCTAATGCTGCGGCACACTAATGATGCGAAAATCGAAAGAAAATCCTTAGTTATGATTTTCAAAAGAAAATTTGTTCAGAATTCGACCCATGGCCTGCATAAGCCTTTAAAACAAATCATCCCTAATCTCTCTAAGTTTCAGTTCACACATGTGCAGGTGCAGCAGCATGCTCTCATTCTTGCGTGTTTAGGGGCAGCTCCTTCATTATAATGGGCTGCTTAACATGTGACCATTGCAAAAAAAAAAAAAAATTGCAAGCATTTCCTTTTTAAACTGTGCTTCTCCAAAAGGCATAGTATTTTGTTACCATGTGTTTTGGCGCACAATTTTTCACACTTCAGTAAGGTGCGTTGGGGTGCCAATAAGAAGGAGTGGCACTTCAGCATTCCTCCAAAAATGGATGCACATTTCTTTGCGTCATGGGAACGCATAGCTTAGCTTGGATTCTTGCATTACTCAAGCATGAATGGAGCCTAACTGCATTTAATGTGAAGTTATTCTTTCTCAAAGACCAAAACAAAAATTTTAGAGTCAGTTTTAGATAAAAAAGAAGGTACACCCAAGCACTTAACCCCCCCCCCCCCCCCACATACACACACTAGGCACTAGTGAAAGCAATAGTAGGGTCATTATTCATGGTTAACTCTCACCTGATGACTTGAAAGAGCTTTTGAAATGTCAGTTGTGGAAACGTTTGTGTACAGAAGTTTGTTGTTCTTTCAAAGGCACGTGCAATTTTTAAGCTAGACATGTTGGGTATCTATTGAATCAGCTTCCACATAAATCTATGCAACTAAAACCTTTGTTTTTAATGCAAATTGTTGAACATTGTAATTTTTTTTCTATTTGTTGGATAGCTAGTAAGTGTGCTTGGAAAAAAAGTTATTTTGTTTGTTCTTTGCAAGGCCTTTCAATGTACACCTTAAAGCCACTTTGCCATTTGCCATTTTCTATTTTTGTTTTGAGTGAGCTTAGGCATAGTGGGGTTGATTTACTAAAATTAGAGAGTGCAAAATCTGGTGCAAATGTGCATGGTAGCCAATCAGCTTCTAACTTCAGCTTGATCAAGTAGGCTTTGAAAAAATACTGGAAGCTGACTGGTTTCAATGCAAAGCTGCCCCAGATCTTGCAATCTCCAGATTTAGATTTTCACCCCCCAGTGTGTTATTCTCAGGATTACCAGGTAAGAGTAAAGGGGAAAGCCTCAAAATAGAAAACCAATGCAGCCATCATATCTAAAGAATGTTAATCTGCAATATTAAAATGTTGTTTTTGGTTTATAATTTACATCACCTCCAAATTGTGATTCATGTACTGCAATTTTGCTCTACATCTAGAAGCAGTATACTGATAGATTAATCATGTAGATTTTCTTTTTCAAGAGCCTGAACACTTCCATAATACAGCTGTTTGGAATTTGTGAGGTTGTTTGGACTCTATATGATGTTGTGTTTTCTGCACTTTTAGGAATTTAACCTGTTGTATGAAGAAGCCAAATACTACCAGCTGCACCCAATGGTGAAGGAACTTGAGCGATGGAAACAGGACAAGGAGCACCGGAAACACTTTCAGCCTTGTGACTGTCTCGTGGTGCGGGTGACTCCAGACCTTGGCGAGAGGATCGCACTAAGTGGGGAAAAGGCATTAATAGAGGAGATATTTCCAGAGACCGGCGATGTCATGTGTAACTCGGTAAATGCTGGATGGAACCAAGACCCTACCCATGTCATCAGGTTTCCATTAAACGGCTATTGCAGATTAAACTCCGTTCAGGTATTCCTACTTTCTTTTTTTTGTGGTTTGTTTAACAGAGTATAATGGGCCTGAGTAATCAAGCTGCTATAGCACATAGGGACTGCTAAAGTAGTTTATTAAGCAATATTATGTATTATGAATATAATATGGGAAGCACAATGGCTAAATGGTTAGCATTTTCCACCTGGCAGTACTAGGGTCGCTGGTACAAATCCCAACCACGGCACCACCTGCCTGGAGTTTGCATGTTCTCCCTGTGCTTCCTTGGGTTTCCTCCGGGTACTCTGGTTTCCTCCCACACTCTAAAGACATGCTGCTAAGTTATTTGGCTCCTGTCTAATTTGGCCCTAGTATGTGTATGTATGGATGTGAGTTAGGGACCTTAGATTGTACACCCCTTGAGGGTTAGGGACTGATGTGAATGTACAATATATATGTAAAGTGCTGCGTAAATTGACAGCGCTATATAAGTACCTGAAATAAATATTATCACACCTGATGCTATTTGAGAGGCCACTGTGGCATTCTATAGCAGGTTAATATATCAGGGCCTATACCTGTTTTAACTTGTAATTGCTAATATCATCTTTTATTGTAGAAATTTTCAGGGTGAGGACCTTTACAGAGAGACATCTTTTCCTTCAATTTCGGATTCATTTTTAGTTCACCTTTTCTTTCTAAATGCGGGGGGGAAAATGGAAGCTCATTACAGGTCTTATTTTATTTGATGCTTGGTCTAAATATACACTATTTCACCAAACATTTTTAGACACCTGGTCATCACACATATATGAGCTTGTTGGACATCCCTTTCCAAAGCCATATGGAGTTGGCATTTCTTTGCAGCTATAACATCCTCCTCTTTTCTGGGAAGGCTTTCCACTACATTTTGGAACATGTCTGCGGGAATTTGTACCCATTCAGCGAAAGAAAATTTGTGAGGTCAGGTACTGATGTTAGATGAAAATACTCACAATTGTTGTTCCAATTCATCCCAAAGGTTCTCAGTAGGGTTGAGGTCAGGGATGCAGTTCCTCCACATAAAACTGGTCACACCATGTCTTTGGGGAGCTTGATTGGTTCAGTCATGGTGGAACAGAAAAGGGTTGGAAAAGCACAATTGTCTAAAACGTCTTTGTGTGCTGTAGCTATAACTGTACCCTTTACTTTAAATACCTCAATAATTTGGAGGGGTGGCCACATGCTTTTAGCCATATAGTGTATACATTTAGGTTGAGTTTACACATTGCTGGATGCAAGAGTGCATTTTCCCTTTGTTCTGATATCTATTTCTAGTTTTGTACAATGACCAGTGAAAGTGGACCAATGCTAAAATCGGAATCTTTATACTCGCTCTGCTGCGTCCTTAAATTCATAAACACTCTTAAGTGGAGAAATGGTCAGGTAATCTCTGCCAAAAGGGATTGAGGGAGTGGGATTCAGGCAAAGCCAGTCAGTTAGCAGCTCTTGCTGAGTTCTGGCCCACCTCTTCCTTTATATATTTTACATAACTAATAGTATTTGAAGGCTGAATGTTTAGATTTTTGGAATAAGTGGTTCTTTTCAGAGGTGCAGGATAATCAAGATCACAGTGTTTCCTTTAAGCTGGCCATACATGGATCAAAATTTGTCCAGCTCAACAGTGACCATTGATTCATGTGTGGCCAGTACCTTTACCAATTGTTTCAACCGCTCTATCTGTATTTTTGTTCTTCTCAATTGGTGTTAATAGACTGCAGTGCTGATCTGTGTTTTCTAATGGGGAAGTCTCCCCGCTGTCAGAACACAATGACACTGTGGAGAGGGTTCCCACATCCACCACAAATGTGTGGACAAGGGAATCAGGTCAGTTTTTTTCATTCATCCCACCGTTTTGAAAAAAAAAAAAAAACTAACCTATGTATGGCCAGCTTTAGCCTTCATTCCCACCTTGTGTATATTTTCCCTTATTCCATCAGTCAGCAAGGGTCAGAGATCAAAATCAACCAACAAGAAGTCCCCTCTCATGGACTAAACTGCAGGAAACTGACATGGTTGTTTGGTAGCCAGTAAATATTCACTGCAACAGTTGTTAATGATGATGCGAGTTCAGTGCTCTGATTCCATGCTCTCACAGAACAAATAATATCTGCATGTGCTTACAAGCAACATAACAATGCAAAATATTTATCGTTATCATAACCTAACAATCACATTTATTATTTTAATTAACTCAGACTACTCGTTATTAGTCAGTCATCCAAGGTAATTAAAAACAAAGGTGATTATAGGATTTTACTCTTTACACAAGATGAATGTCACCAAATTAGTGCTACGTAGTTAATAATGTACAAAACATTGACAAGGTAATACTGCATGATAAAAGAAAGAAGCAATACACACTTACCTTTTGAAGAGATACAAAAGTATTTGCACAGGTTTTGAGTAAGACTTCATATAATACAGCAAATCTACAATGTGGATGAAAAAAATCCTTATGATAAAGTGGTATAAAGGGAAAAATAAATAAATAGATAAGTAGGTAGGTAGATAGATACAGTATATTGCCAAAACTATTGGGACACCCATCCAAATCATTGGATTCAGGTGTTCCAATCCCCTCCATGACCACAGGTGTATAAAATCAAGCACCTAGGCATGCAGACTGCTTCTACTAACATTTGTGAAAGAATGGGTTGCTCTCAGGAGCTCAGTGCATTGAAATGTGGTACCGTTATAGGTTGCCACCTGTGCAATAAGTCCAACCCTGAAATGTCCTTGCTACTAAATATTCCACGCTCAACTGTTAGTGGGATTATAACAAAGTGGAAGCAACTGGGAACAACAGCAACTCAGCCACGAAGTGGTAGGCCACATAAAATGACAGAGCGGGGTCAGCGCATGCTGAAGCGCACAGTGCGCAGAAGTCGCCAACTGTCTGCAGAGTCAATAGCTAAAGACCTCCAAACTTGGTGTGGCCTTCAGATGAGCACAACAACAGTGCGAAGAGAGCTTCATGGAATGGGTTTCCATGGCCGAGCAGCTGCATCCAAGCCTTACATCACCAAGTGCAATGCAAAGCATCGGATGCAGTGGTGTAAAGCACACCGCCACTGGACTCTAGAGTAGTGGAGATGTGTTCTCTGGAGTAACAACTCACACTTCTCTGTCTGCCAATCTGACGGATGTGTCTAGGTTTGGTGGCTGCCAGGAGAACCGTACTTGCCTGACTGCATTGTGCCAAGTGCAAAGTTTGGTGGAGAGGGGATTTGGTGTGGGGTTGTTTTTCAGGGCTTGGGCTTGGCCCCATTAGTTTAAGTGAAGGGAACTCTTAAGGCATCAGCATACCAAGATATTTTGGACAATTTCATGCTCCAAACATTGTGGTAAGAGTTTGGGGATGGCCCCTTCCTGTTCCACAGTGACTGCGCACCTGTGCTCAAAGCAAGGTCCATAAAGACATGGAGGAGTGAGTTTGGGGTGAAGAAACTTGACTGGCCTGCACAGAGTCCTGACCTCACAAATGCGCTTCTAGGAGAATGATCAAACATTCCCATAGACACCCTCCTAAACCTTGTGGAGAGCCTTCCCAGAAGAGTTGCATCTGTTATAGCTGCAAAGGGCGAGCCAACTCAATATTGAACCCTATGGGCTAAGACTAGGATGCCATTAAAGTTCGTGTTAAGGCAGGCATGCCAATACTTTTGGCAATATAGTGTAGATAGATAGACAGATAGATAGATAGATAGATAGATAGATAGATAGATAGATAGATAGATAGATAGATAAATAGATAATCATATCAGGAATTATTCATGTAGACTGTTAATCTTACTAACAGGTCCAATTTAACCCCAAATTTATTTATGTGTCATGGCAATATCATGTGTGATAAGCTTAAGTATGTATAAAGGGACCCCATAGCTAAACCATATAGGGGTCCTCATCTCTCTAATGTCCATCCTAAAGGCAGTTTTTCTAGTGATATAGAATAAGCATTGTTTTCAAAACAATCTTTATATTCTTTATATTTTGTTCCTAAAAATTCATGAAAATCTAAATGCATTTGTCAAATGTTTTTGCTACCTTCAAAAATTTGCCAAGCAGAGCCCCAACATAGTCACATGGTCTTCTGAGATTATAGTTACGCTCTTTGCATTATATACATATATGGCCAAAAGTATGTGGAGACCTGAGAGGTCCAAATGCAAACAAAATTCTCAAAAATTAGGATATAGGTCTGATTTTATAGATAGATAGATAGATAGAGAGATAGATAGATAGATAGATAGATAGATAGATAGATAGATAGAGAGATAGATAGAGAGATAGGTTTGAGATAGATAGACACAGTAGATATAGATACAGTATATGTGAGACAGATAGATAAAAAGAATAGATAGATTTGAGATAGATCGATCGATAGAATGTTATTTTTTCCTATGGCCGAAAGTATTTGGAAACCTGATAGACTTAACTGCATGACAATATGCAGATGATCATTATTATTCAGTTCTCAGAAATATGGATACAGGTCTGATTTTATACAAAGATAGATAGATAGATAGATAGATAGATAGATAGATAGATAGATAGATAGATAGATAGATAGATAGATAGATAGATAGATAGATAGATAGATAGATAGATAAATAGATTTTGAGATAGATTGATAGGTCAATAGACAGTTAGATCAACTCTGCATATGATTAGATAGACAGATTAATGATAGATAGATAGATAGATAGATAGATAGATAGATTAGATAGATAGATAGATCGATCTGGGATAGATAGATAGATAGATAGATAGATAGATAGATAGATAGATAGATAGATAGATAGATAGATCTGGGATAGATAGATAGATAGATAGATAGATAGATATCTGAGATAGATCAATAGACAGCTCAATTAATAGATCATTGGAAAGAATGCCATTTTCTCCCTCTCCCTGTGTGTGAATAATGTCTACAAACCTTGCGTCTACACCCTCACAAACACCTACCCGGGAAGATTTTTTCAATGTTCCGCCACTTCAGAGAATGCAACAATGTATAAATGCATAATTTATGTCTGGCTCATAATTAAATGATGGTGCCTGCGGTATGGACTTTAAAGGGAAAAAAATTGATCTGTACTTTTTTTCTCTGAAAAGAAGAGTTTCTGTAAAACTTGCCCTCAGACTAATAACAAGTGTGTTGCTCATTGACAAGCTGAGAATGGCGGATAAAGACGCAGCATTTCCTTGACTTTTTGCTGCCTGGAGAAAAAGTCTAAAATGACCCACCCCCACAAAATGTGGTATCTTTGTGTCATGTGTTTTTTAATTATTAAATTTTTTTTACCCTTTAAAATAAATATAATACTATGAAAGATTTAAGACAAAGGGTACAGTAATAACCAATTAGGGGAGATTTACTAAAGCTGGAGCACCCAGAATCTGGTTCAGCTGTGCATGGCAGCCAATCAGCTTCTAACTTCAGCTTGTTCAGTTAAGCTTTGACAAATAATTTGGAAGCTGATTGGTTTCTATGCAGAGCTGCACCAGATCTTACACTCTCCAGTTTTATTAAATCAACCCCTGTGAATGTTTCTTCTGCAATAAAGACCCTGCCTATTATTTTTTTTTATTTTTTAACTTTAGCTCCTCTTACCATGGGATTTTGGTTTTTACTCATTTATGCTATTTTTTCAATTTGTCCTAAAGTTGATGTTTAGCTATGGCATATTTTTCATAGTTACATCGGTCCAGCTTGGACCAATAACAGTATGTATGTGCCATACCTAGGGGGGATCCCCGTGGAGACTGGAAATCCCCACTAGGTCCAGGGTCACGTGTCAAGCAGCTGACCTGCTGCATTGTAAACACAGGAGGTCACTCACTTGACACGGGCATCAATCAGAGAACACTTTGCTTTTTTTCACTGAAATCAAAGGATTTTCTGACTGGATGAGGTGGTGATGCCAGGATCCCCACCTTATCCAATAAGAGAACACTTTGTATTCACTGACAAAATGCAAAGTGGATTGGCCAGTTATGACACACGCATAGTTACACTGCCATACCTAAACTTCAGCTTTTATTCTAGGTTCAGTTTAACCATCATTACACAATCCTAGGATAAAAATCAAAACAGAAGGTGACTTTTTAGCCCTATATTTTAATAAATCATCTACACTTAAATGGTGGTGGCCTCTTCTCTCTCCTATTGCGACTTTACTTGCTGCCATTTGAGATACAAATAATGCTTACTGTATTTACAAGTACTTTTTTAGATATATATGCTTTATTTGCTTGTTTCCATCTCTATGCTTCGTATAATGTTTCTTCAATGATTTCATTCTTATTTTTATTCCTGTAGGTGCTCGAAAGACTGTTTCAAAAGGGATTCCATGTGGCAGCCTCATGCGGTGGCGGAGTTGACTCCTCACAGTTTAGCGAATACGTACTGTGCCGGGAGGACAGGCGGGTGCAGCCAAACACAATGAGGATAAAACAGGAGCCTCTGGACTGATTCTTGATGGTATATCTTTGTGGCTGATGAAGTGTTCTAAAGTCCTTGATGTGAAAAACTTCAGGACCTGCTTAACAGTATTAAGAGACTCAATATGACTTTTTGTTGCCAGTTTGTGATATTTTATAAAGACTTTGCAAAGTGGACAGAAGCTCGGTCCTCAAAAAAAAAAATGGGGTCCAAGGGGACTGGTACTTAACGCGACAGCTGTGCTGTAAAGACAAAAAGTCTCGCAAAGTGGAATTGTGTTCTCCAGACCGGAATCTCGCTGTCCACGGGAACCAGAAGAACAAAATATCCAAGGGGTCCAGTCCAATTAATGATATTACAGACACGTAAAATAAGACACATTTTTCCTCTATTTAATGCATCCAGTCGACTGATCCTTGCAATTACCTGATTAATCAAATATTTGACCCGATGAAAAGCTGATTAAAGAAAAGGATTTGCTTTTTGGATGGGTAACTGTGACATGCAATATTGGACTAAGGAGCACTAAAAATGTTGTCAACTAGACTATCCATAATGTAACTGTTTTGGTTGTTTTAGTATTTTGATGCATTCTGTGATGCTGTATTTTTAATGACAAAGGGATTCCTTTCAAGGAAATCACTCAAACTGACAATATTTGTCTCAGAAGCAGCTTCCACGTTTCAAGCGACCTTGTCGAGAAGTTAAAAATCAAAATACAGGTCCTTGCAAGAGAAAAAGTAGTATACTCACCTCTCTGGGGTCACCTACCTCTCTTATATACCAACGCTGCAGCCATTCTCGATGACTTTGGTATTCGATACCTATAGGAGCGTCATATGTCTGCGCCCCCCCTTGTGTCATTATTCTGACACTACAATGCTTAGCATGTCATAAAATATTTAAAGCTGAAGTTTAGCTATGCATATTTTATATAGTTACATTGATACAGCTTGGCCCAATGTAAGTATGTATGTTCCATACCTGTGGGATCCCTGTGGAAGCTGGAAATCACTGTAGTAGGTAGCGCTACTACACCGCTACTACATTGATCTCCACTGGCATCTGGGGTCCCAGACTAAGAGTTTGCTCACTAGGCACAGGCACCATTAAGGGAATGCATAACGTTCTCTCATTGGATGAGGTGGGGTGCTCCACTTTGTGCAAGCATCAGACAATGATTTGCATTCATCGGACAAATGCAGACTGTTCTCTAATTGGCACCCATAACATGCAAGGGACCTCCTGTATTCACTAAGCAACAGGACAGCCGTTCAACACAGGACCCATAAGCTATCAGCAATCACTGTACACTGTCCCAAGCTGGACCAATTTACTGATGCAAAACTTGCCATACCTAAACTTCAGCTTTTTTCCCCCTGACAGGGTCGTTTTAAAGGTGACAACTTTCCATGGCTGTAGTTCCAAGGCAAGGAACCTGGAACTATTCAGCTTCTCTGATAGGTACTCTAGTCCACTACCCTTGAATTCGTGTGTGGATGAGAATCAGAGAATTGCTGTCGTTGCTAGATGGTTGACACCAAGATCCATTCTTTTTAAGCTGGTTATATATGTGGCAATTTGATCAAGTGATCAACCTTTTGACTTCATTTTTTGGTGACATCATAAAGCAATCGTAAACATAAAGTGGTGGTTTTAATTGACCACATAGAGATGGGGTCAACATTTCCCCAAAGCAACTTAGTGGAAGTTTGGTTCCATTTCATCCCAATCTTTCGATAATTTATTAGCTAGTTTTGACTTTACAGTCAACCAAATTATGATGTTTGATCAAACTCTTGGCAGATTTCTTAGTTGCTGGCAATTACATGCAATTGTAGTGACTTTAAGATGGATGAAATTGGTGTATGACTAGCTTAAATGGTGGAATAGGAAAGAATTGTCACTAAATTCTAGATACAGACAGGTTTCACCGTTAATAATGTTGGGTTTACCCTCAGAATGGAAGTCTCTTGTATCTGGAGGAGGTATACTTCAAAGGAGAACTTAAAGGGAAGGCAAAAGCGTCATCCCCTCAGATCAATTTATACCTAGCAAAATGATTAAGATGCACATGGGTAGGGGAGTCTATGAAGAACAATATAATACAAAAATGTCACTCAGCACAAAGTCAAATTCTAAATTATTTCAACAATTAAAAACAGATTTTTGTTGAATAAATTTGGAAACACATGTGAAGCCATACTGCTGCACTAGGGCACCTCTGCAGACTGTGATCCCTAACTCCAGTCTAAGGCCTTATGCAAACAGAGCTTAAAAACACACCACTTATATAGGTGTTGAGCGTTTTTTTTTTTTTTTTTTAAGCCTGTAAAAGCATACCCTTTGAAGGCCAATAGGATTGATTAACTAAAGCTGCGATTCGGTTGCTGTGCATTTTTTAAAGTAGTGCATGCACTACTGTTGGTGTGGTCTGGCGTAATTTCATGTGCATGATTGCATGTGAATTGCACAGGAATGCACAGAGTGAAATTCATGATGTGAACCAGCCCTGAACCCATACTTTATTTATTATTGTAATACTTGCCTAGAAATAAGTTTTGTTGCAATCTTTTTTTTCAGAGTTTTTAACTCCTTCCCACTGGCCGCACATATCTACGGCTACGTTACTGGCAGCTAACGGAAAGCTCCCGATCTCTACTACTCCAGTCACGATGGTCACATGATCAGAAACCTCCCCCGCCTCCAGGCATCTGAAACCCCTTAAAGGGTCGAAAGAAGGTACAGACGCCAAGGGGTTAAACATTCCCTGTACCATATTTCCATGTATATATATATATATATATATATATATATATATATATATATATATATATACAGATATTCAATTTGTACAGTTCAAAAACTGCCATTATAAATCTCATTGACAGAAATATTCACATACAAATGAGTAAAGAAAGAAAGAAAAATGATGGTCCCAAGGATCCAAAGTCCTTTATTGAAATCACAAGTAACAGAAAGCAAAAAGGCAGCCACTGTATTTGGTGTAGGTGAATTTGTCTGCAGCTATGGCCAAGTGACGTAACATATTACTTGGCCACTTATACAGGCACAACCCCCATAAACTTTTGCTCCTGTCCGTTATTTTTCCTGGAACTTATTTTGAGTCCGATAGCTACTTTTTGCTACATATTTTAAGCCTCGATGAAGAGAATTTTTGGTCCCTGAAACACATTGGCTTCCCTTTTTCTTTCCTGATGTTACCTTTGATTGTAATAAAGGACTATGAACTCTTGAGACGATTAATTGTCTCTCTTTCTTGGCTCATTTATATGTTGATTTCTGAATTCAGATGACTCCTATCCTTTGGGAAGTCTCCTGTTTTGTGAAGAGCTGATGAATCCAAGTCATTAGGCCCAACCAATGATTTCGGTCTGTGAGTTAAAGGTCTGAGTCCATCACCTCACACCCACCTCTCAGTGACAGAAAGGGCATTGTTTACAACCAGTCAGACCTGACTGCTATACTTTCACTGAGAGAGAAATAGGAAGACACAACTACTAAGAAGCAAGTAAAAGTATTTGCGTGCATACAATATGTGCAAAGATGGCTGCCCAATGTACACATATTCCTTATTTACAGCTTATGTGTACATATAAAAACATTAAAAATAGTTAAACAAAACCATCAGAAATCCCCGTATTGAAGTATAAACCTCCAGTTCCCAGCTGTTCTTTTACTAGAGTTCCATTCTAGTGGGTCAATTTTTGGCTCAGATTACCTAGTGTGGAATGGCTAGCGTGGACCGACACAAACACAGAAACTCTTGTACTACAGGCAAGATTTGGGCAGGAGACAAAACATTTGTTTGAATGATTAGCATCTAAAATTGCAGATTTTGGCTAAATTGTGGCTAAATAGCCCTTTTATGGGTATTTTGCTGCTGAATTTAGAGTTTTGCCTGAAATGTTTCTTTAAAAGAGCACACTTTCATCCTCCACCAGTACATGTTCTTGTTCAAAATGTGATATTAGCTGTTGGGGAATCCTGGGGGCTGTAAGTCCTAGACACTAGGATGAATTCACCATAGCTACATTGGATGGTCATAGATGTGGTCCTCATAGGGATGCGACCAGGGATGTTCCCTTTTCTTGTGCTAACTGCAGCAGCAATTTGAATGCTTCCCATTGACTCTAAAGTCTACTTTCCTTGGCATGTATCATCAACTCATAACTAATTCAGTCTGCCCTGGGAGTCAAATGTACTGCTGTCATATAAACCAAGCCAGTCTAAAGTGTGTGGCTTAACCTCGCCAAGCCCAATGGAGCAGCAGTTTTGATCTGACACAGGCACACTCTCCTAGGTAAAACCTCAAAGCAAAGTGTTAAGTGGACCTAGCATCAGATATATTTCAAATTACATGCATAAAAACTAAGTAATAAGTAAATGTAACAAGCACAAGTATTTATTACTTCTCAGAGAGATCTCAGTGCTCCCCTGACAATGCCTTTATCTGCTTTCCAAAAGGACAGAGCCATCTTTGTTCAGGCATCATCCAGGGTCACAATCTACTTCCTGGACTGAGATTTCAGCGTAGAGATGACACAATTATGTAAATCCTGGTGCCAGTGCAGTTCTTGGCAGTGTTCACTAATGTGTGACACACTTACAATGTTGCAGTCTGGGCACTGGGGGGAGGGGAGACTGAAGAAATGCTTCCTCCTGCCTGCAGCAGACTGATGACATTATCTCGGCCTAGGCCATGGGGGCTCAACATGTGGCCCTCCAGCTGTTGCAGAACTACAAGTCCCATGAGTCCTTGCAAAGCTAACAGTTATAAGCATAATTCTCAAAGGCATGATGGGACTTGTAGTTCCCCAACAGTTGGCGGGTCACAGGTTGAGCACCCATAGCCTAGGCAAAGTCAGTGGACTGGAGCTCAAGGCTGTTTTTGTAAATGATAAAAGGTGGAGCTTTCCTGAAACATTATAGTGTGGTATATTCTGACATATAAGGGTTATATTCAGCCTTGTAGAGAAAGTCCACTTCAGCCTATAGCTATATTAACA